CAGTAGACCGGCAGATCTGATATCATCGCCACTGTGGTGGAATTCAGTGCCTACTGTAGATGCTCCAGTAGCTCCGGTAGCTACAGTTTCCACGGCAGCAGTTGTATTCCCACCGAAACCAACTCCAGTGATACCTCCCGTCGTTCCAGACACGTCACATCCGTAGCGTTTGTACATTCCGCGGTACCTAAAATAAAATTTTAAAGACGCGTATCTCAAAAACTACAGTAGCTATCAAAAAGTTGTCAACTACAAAAATATGTAAAATTTAACGCTCTACAATTTCGTAATTAACAAAATGTTTCTAACTTTTATAGTTTTTGAGATACGCGTCTTTAAAATTTTATTTTAGGTACCGCGGAATGTACAAACGCTACGGATGTGACGTGTCTGGAACGACGGGAGGTATCACTGGAGTTGGTTTCGGTGGGAATACAACTGCTGCCGTGGAAACTGTAGCTACCGGAGCTACTGGAGCATCTACAGTAGGCACTATAGCAGGTACTACAGTAGGATCGACTAGTGGATCGACTAGTGGTGCAAGCACCATCGGAATGTAGAACTTTTTCTGGATGATGAATGAATTTTGACTCATAACTTGGTTCATTTTGATCCTAGAGTTTTTATTTGTACACCAATCGATTGGAAATTAAATTTTACACCTGGAAAATGTATAATCCAAAAACTTTTGAATAGAAAATTTTTGATTTTGGCCTTCTACCATCGCCTGACATCGCTCGCGTTTATCACCTTCTTTTCTCTACACTCGTCTCATGTGCCCTTATATCTCAGTGGTAGAGCGTTGGTCTTGTAAACCAAAGGTCCGTAGTTCAATCCTGCGTGGGGGCAATTTTCTTTTTTTTTCTCTTTTTTTGGGATTTTCTTAAATTGCGACAATATCAGAACGTTTGGACACACAGACACACAGACAGGCAATTTTATTCCGAAAAGAAAGAGAAGGAAAAGGTCACTCAATACTCTTGACTCCTATCATTGTCTCATCCTCATTCTGATCCTCCATGTACTCTGATCGGGGTCTGAAAATTGATATTTTCACAAAAAAACCGATAAATGAAAATTTACCCATTCTTTTTTTGAGTCGTCTTCATCATACTTTTTTCTTTGGCTGTAAAAAATCTTGTTTGGACCATAACTTGGTTAATTTTAAATATTTTGGAGTGAAACTTTGATTTTCAAGTTTCTCATACCAAGAGCTTCAAAATGAGTATAGTCATGACCTACTTTAGAGAATTTCGAATTTTAGACCCTTGGGGGGAGGGGCTATGCGCCTTTAAAGCCAAAATATCGATTGAAAGGAACATAGTCATGATTATATTCATTTTGAAGCTCTAAGAAAGGGGATTTCGTAAATTTAAATTTCAGTCAAAATTTTCGAAATTTGAAAAAGTTATGGACCAAAATAATTGTTGAAAACAATTTTTTTTTTCAAAACTTTTCAATTTTACCTGTAACCGGTTCTCGAGATCTCTTTCTACCCGATTCCTTGCTTTCTTGCAATTTCTGCTTATTTTTTCCTGAAAATTCTTTGGATTTTTTGAGCATCGATTTTGCCTCAGGGTCCGGGTCACTTTGGGTTGGCTCCACCGATTTTTCCTCTTTTTCTTTTTTCTCAACTTTTTCAGACTTTGTTTCAGGTGTTGCAGATTTTTGAGTCTCTGGTGGTGTTGGGGTTGGCGGCTGAAACAATTTCAGAATTTTTGAAAATTTTCAAAAAAATTTTTCTGAAATTTTCAGCTTTTTCGAAATTCCATCTCAATAATGTTCTAGAATACTCTCAAAATGGTCCACACAAAAATCAAAAAAGTTTGCCACCGAGCGGTATCGAACCCGGGTCGTCATATTGGTAGTGGAAATGGAGAAAATCCCACTGAGCCAAAAGTGCATTTTTCGGAAAAATGCACAAAAACGCTAGAAAAATGGAATTTTCAGGGTTGAAAACTAGTTTTATCACTTTTTTCAAGTTTTTTTGTCTTAAAATTCATATTTCCAACCAGTTTTGAGAAACAAATTTTTTTCGAAAATGTTCAAGTTTTAGATTTTTTGAAAATATTGATTTTTGACATCTAGAATGTCTAAAGTAGTCTAAAAATGCTCTGAAAAAGCAGCAAAAAAGTTTTGCCACCAGGTGGAATCGAACCCGGGTCGTCAGATTGGTAGTGCAAATTTCGAAAATCCCACTGCACCAAAAGTGCATTTTTCGGAAAAACGGTCAAAAATGCTGGAAACGTCGGTTTTCAAGGTGTCTTTGGGATCGATTTTAAAGAATACGTCATTTCTCAGATGCTTACAGTAGTTTTCAGACAAAAAACTGAAAAAAAATAATTTTTCGAATTTTTGGTTTTTGACTTTTTTGGGAAAATTTTTAAATTTTTAAAAAACTTTTTTTCGCAATTTTCAGAATGAGACTACGCCCCCTTTTATTACCGTATTCTCCTTCAGTTTCTGCTCCTTCCTCCGACGTCTTCTTTGTCTCAAAGTATTCGGATGTTCACCACGAAAGTTCTCTTTCGTCTTGCAGAAAATCAATGGAATTAAGCTGAGCAATGTGATTGAAATAGTACAAATCGAAATTAGGTTCATGATTCTGGAATAAAAATTCAGAAGACGTTGGATTAGAATTCAGAAGACAAACTTGCTTTTCAGATTTGAAATCTTGCGAAATAGGCAAAAATAATTTTTTTTGAAAACAAAATTGTTTTTCAAAAATTTCGTTTCACGTTTAATGGATTTTTTTTACTCGAAACATAAAAAAATGAGTTTTTTGCCACCGAGAGGAATCGAACCCGGGTTGTGAGATTGGTAGTTGGCAATGTTGAAAATCCCACTGAGCCATTTTTGCGCTTTTCGGAAAAACGCTCAAAAATGTAAAAAAATGGATTTTTTTTTGAGTTGGACACTATTTTTTTCCATATTTTTCGATATTTTCAACCAAATTTGAACAAAAAAATGTTCTCGGAAATTTTCAAAAACTAGATTTTTCGAAAATCTCATTTTTTCCATCTAGAATGTTCTAGAATGGCTAAAAAAGCTTTAAAAATGCAGCAAAAAAGTTTTGCCACCGAGTGGAATCGAACCCGGGTCGTCAGATTGGTAGTGGAAATGTGGGAAATCCCATTGAGCCAAGAGGGCATTTTTCGAAAAAACGCTCAAAATTGCTGGAAAATTCGATTTTCAAGGGGTTTTTATAATATTTTTGGTGTTTTTAACAAACTTCAAGCAGTTTTCAGACAAAAAAATCTGAAAAATTGAAAAAAAAATTTTTGGAGCCAAACATTATTTTTTCTGAAATTTCCAGATTTTTCGAAATTTCGGGTCTAGAATGTTCCAGTACAGTCTAAAAATGGTCTATACAGAAATTTAAAAAAGTTTGCCACCGAGTGGACTCGAACCCGGGTCGTCCGATTGGTAGTGGAAATGTGGAAAATCCCACTGCGCCATTGGTGCCATTTTTCGAAAAATGCTCAAAAATGATAGAAAAATGGAATTTGAGATGGATTTTGCTGAATTCTGAGTGTTTTTAAAAGATTCCCAGACATTTTCAGACAAAAAAACCCTGAAAAAATACGAAAAAAAATTTTTTTTTGGATGTTTTGGAATTGAAAAACAACTATTTCAACTAAATCTTTATTATTGCACAGAAATAAATTATATAGCAAAATAAGTGTTCTTAAAAGAGCTCTAAAAAGCGAGAGGAATTATTATACAATAAACTTTGGACACTAAAAAGCAAAATTCCCTGGGAATTTTCAGAAAAAAAATTTTTTTAGCAAAAATAAGCAAAGCGGGAATTCGAATATTTTGTTTTGGCGGGAAAATGAAAAATTATTCAAGGGACTCCCCAATGTCGACGATTTCCTTAATAAGGAAGTCCAAGTCCTCGCGGGTGATGGCCTGAAAAATTTTGAAATTGAAAAACAAATTTTTAGCTCCAATTTTTAAAAATCGCTGTAAAAATGAATTTGGACTTTTTAGAATCCTCAAATCCTCCACTTTTGGAACGTTAACTTACTTGATTAGAAATAATCATTCTGAAGAAGTTCGGACGCTGTTTGTCCGGCTGGTACCCAACCATTGTAGTTCCCCGCTGCATCATTCCAGCCTTGATTTTTGGAGCAATTTTCTCCAAACGAGCCTTGATTTCGGCTGGTTCCAAGTTGCGAATCTTGGATGGAACGTACCAAAAGCAAATGTTCAGGAATTCCGGCTGAAAATATTGATTTATGAAGAAATATTTCCGAAAAATTGGAAAAATCCAAAATATTTTTTTTCAATTTCCCACTTTTCTGTTGTTCAAATTATTTAAAATGTATCAAAAACACCAAAAAACAACAAAACTCAGTTTGAAAATCGACTTTTCCAGCTTTTTTGAGCATTTTTCCAAAAAATGCACAAATGGCTCAGTGGGATTTTCCACATTGTCCACTAACAATTTGAAGTCCCGGGTTCGATTCCACTCGGTGCCAAAACTTTTTTATTCTTGTGTGGACCATTTTTAGACAATTCTAGACTCCTCTAGAGCTCAAATTCAGAAAATTTGAAAAATTTTTGAGGATTTTAGATCTGAAATTTGGGAAAATACCCAAATTTTCGGTTCAAACTCAATTTCGTAGAACAAAATTAATATTTTTGAATTTCTTAAGTAGAGAGCTTTAAAATGGGTATAATCATGACTAACTTCTAAAAATGTTGATTTTTGGAAATTTTCCTACCCTATTTTTCTATGCGCCTTTTCTATGCGCCTTTAAAGTCAAAATATCAAACTTTATGGAATATGATCATGATTATACTCATTTTGAAGCCCTGAACGTGAGAAATTCAAAAATAAAAGTTTCATGCTAAAATTCTGAAAAATGAGACAGTTATGAGCACATCAAAAAATCATAGCAACTTCAGAAAAACCTTGTTGTGCTCATAACTTGGTTGGTTTTCCATATTTTTGAGAAAACCTTAATTTTATGAATTTGTGATGTCCAGACCTTCAAAATGAGTATAATCAAGACATATTTCAGAGAATTTTGATTTTTCGCCCACCCTCTGCGCCTTTAAGGTCAAATTGGGGTAAAAATCCCTGTTTAAAGGAGCATAGGCCTGATTATACTCATTTTGAAGCTCTACGCGTGGGAAATCCAAAAATAGAACTTTCAAACTGAAGTTCTAAAACATAAGAGAGTTATGAAGATAACAAAGTTTTAGAAATTTTAGAAGAATCCATAATTTGGCTTTTTCTAGCGCATATTTTTGTCTATTTTGACTTATTTCCCCCCAAATATGAATTCCAAACTCACATTCTCAATGATCAACTCGAAACCTTCAGTCTCCTTGATTCTTCTGGTAAAGTAGGCAGATAAATCCATAAGCTTATTGATTTGCTGGCGATATCCCTCCATTCCCTTACTCTTCCACATCAACCAAAGCTTGAAGACATCGTTATGACGTCCACATTGGATAGCCTTGTCTCCAGTATCATAACTAACATCGTAAGGCTTGTCTTGTTGGAATAAATAGTCTGCTGATGCCTGATTACACTGGAAAAGCAGTCCATCCTGACGGAAAAGACAGGCGGAGCATTGAAGAAGGGCTCCCATGAGTTTATGGGGGTTCCAGGTGACCGAGTTGGCTCTCTCGACACCAGCTAGCTTATAGCGATGCTCCGGGGAAAGCAACATTCCACCACCCCATGCTGCATCGACATGGAACCATAGCTTGTGTCTCTCACAGATGTTGGCAACTCGCTCCAATGGATCAAACGCACCGTATACTGTAGTACCGGCTGTGCAGCAGACAAAGAATGGGGTTAGACCCTCTTTCTTGGATTCGATTATCTTTGCTTCCAATGCTTCTGGAATCATTTTTCCGTTTTTGTCGGTTGGAATGTTGAAGCAGTGATCGGCGCCAATTCCAAGCACTGCGGAGGCGGATTTGATTGAGTAGTGACTCTGGAATACTTTGTATTTGAAAACAGGGCTAAAAACCATGAAAAATAGCATCTAAATTGCCGAATATTGCTTGAAAAAACTCAAAAAATAGGGATTCTCTCGAAAAATACACTTTTGGCTCAGTGGAATTTTCCACATTTCCACTACCAATTTGACGACCCGGGTTCGATTCCATGTGGTGGCAAAACTTTTTTATTTTTGTAAAGACCATTTTTAGGCTGTTGTAGAACAGCCTAAATGGCGAAAACCCAGATTTTCGAAAAGTTCTAATTTTTGAAAAATTTCAAAAAAAATTTTTTTTCGCAAAATTAGTTGAATATATGAATTATAGAACAAAAGAACTTGAAAAATGTGAAAAACCAGTTTCTAATCCGGAAATTTTCATTTTTCTTATATTTTTGAGCGTTTTTCCAAAAAATGCACTTATGGCTCAGTGGGATTTTTCACATTTCCACTACCAATTTGACGACCCGGGTTCGATTCCACTCGGTGGCAAACTTTTTTGATTTTTGTGTGGACCATTTTTTTTTAATATTTTAATCTTCATAGCTACCAATCTGAAGGCCCCAGGTTCGACTCCGCTCTGTGGCCAAATTTTTTTTTCGCTTTTTTAAGGAGAAAGGCGCATATCTCAAAAACTAAAACAGCTAGAAAAAAGTTGTCAACTACAAAAATGATCTTCTAGTCTTGTATGATATCATCAAACTTCATCTTCGCTGGTAAAGCAGCACAATGTTGGAATATCCTTCATTCCGAGATGTTTGCTACGCGGCCAGAGTTGATGGCGAGCGGCATTCATCGCGTAGAGATTGGCAATGGCTCCGCCTGGAGCAAATATTCCATCGGCTTTTTCTGGATCCCATCCAACTGCTTCCCACATACGAGTCATCACCGATTTCTCCATTAGAATGAAGACCGGAGCGATTTCGTAGGTGAACCTGGAAATTTGAAATTTTGAAAAAACCGTTTTTTTTCAATTTTTTTTCCGAAATCGTTAAAAAACCCTGCACCATAAGAAAGAGGTTATTATCTAGCTAGCTGATGTCTCAAGAATTCTTGTGCTACAGTAATCCCCTGACGTCATCTGAAAAAAACTTCTAATCCCTTTAAAAAACCTTTTAAGTCAGTCCCTCCGAAAACGCATAAAAGTACAGTACCCTTTACCTCTTTAAGCACCCTTTTAAGCTCTTACACTCATGAAACAACAGTAATCCATTAACCCCATTTTAAAGGATTTCTCCCAATTTAAAAGTACCCTCTAGAAGGGTCCCATTAGGGCCTAATTGAATGGCCTATACGAAAACGGACCCTCAAACATTAAAGGCGCATATCTCAAAAACTAAAAAAGCTAGAAAACAGTTGTCAACTACAAAATTGCTCAGCATAAAATTTCACACTTTTTGTAGTTTACCAAATTTTGGTAGCTACAGTAGTTTTTGAGATATGCGCCTTTAATGTTTGAGGGCCTCCCCCTCCTCTCGGAAGGGTCGGTCGGAAGGAGCGCCATGTTTAAAGGCGCATATCTCAAAAACTAGAAAAGCTAGAAAAAAGTTGTCAACTACCAAAATGAAGCTCTAGTCTTGTTTCGCATAGTCTAGAAATGTTAGATAAATTGAACAATTATTAGTATACTTTTCGGGGACTTTAAAGTTGGACCACGCCCGACCGCCTCTGAACACCTCGTCCGCGGCCCCCCCGACCACTTACATATTGGTGTTGGCAGTGGCGGTGAGCCACTCGCCAGCCATTGAAACCAAATCCAATCCGCATGAAATCTGGTTGAAGAAACGTGGATGGCCAGTACGGACTCCCAAACGGAGCACATCCTCGCAGCTCTGAAATTTGAAGTTCGCTCATAAATCTTTTAAATTTGAATATTTTGCTGTGAAACTTAAATTTTCGATTTCCTGACATTGCTTCAAAATAAGTATAATCATGACCTACTTCAGAGAATTTTGAATTTTCGGAAATTTTCGACCACCTCATGCGCCTTTAAAGTCAAAGTTTCAAATATAAAGGAACATAGTCATGATTATACTCATTTTGAAGCTCTAAACGTGATAAATCCAAAAATTTAAATTTCAAACTGAAGTTCTAAAACATAAGAGAGTTATGAAGATAACAAAGTTTTAGAAATTTTAGAAAAACCCCTCCAAGACGTTGGAAGATCCTAGAGATTTGGTTTTTCCCTCATTTTCATCCTATTTTGAAGTGTGAAAAGATGAAAACGGGGGAATTGGGTGCTTATTGTGCCCGCAGGGCACATAAAAGGGGAGAAATTGCGTGCAGAAATAGGATTTTTGGAAGATGGAGGAGGAGGAAATGAAAAAAGGGAAGATGGACCAGATTTTTTGGTACAAACTCAAATTCATTTGGTGAAATTTGGATTTTTAGATTTCCCACAATGAGAGCTTCAAAATGAGTATAATCATGACTATATTCAGTGAAGTTCGAATTTTGACCTTAAAGGCGCACGGGAGTCGCAAAAGGAGTCAAAAAATCAAATGGCTGGAAGTAGTTCATGATTATACTCGTTTGAAAGCGCTGAACTTGATAAATTCAAAAATATAAGTTTTATCCTAAAATTCTGAAAAATAAAAAAGTTATGGGCATAACAAAATTCTTAAAATTTTTACAGAGTTTTTTTTGGTCCATAACTTGGTTAGTTTTCAATATTTTTGAGAAAAATTTAACTTTTTAAATTTTTGGTGTCTAGAGCTTTGAAATGAGTATAATCATGACCTACTTTCCTCAATTTTTAAAATTTGGACCCCTTTATGCGCCTTTAAAGTCGAAAAATCAGTTTAAAGCAACATAGACGTGATTATACTCATTTTGAAGCTCTAAACGTGGGCAATCCGAAAATCAAACTTAAATACAGTAATTTTGATAATTCGCAGAGTTATGATCAAATTAATGCAAAATCTCAAAAATGACCGCCCACCTTAACCAGCTTCAACAAGTTCTCCGGCTGCTCGGGAATCGACAAATCAATCAACATTTGCATTTTGTCCGGATGATGAAACTCCAGAATCTTCTGATCACGATCATTTTGATCCTTGATGTACTTCAGAAGCACCTGGACCACACGATTCAAGAACTCCTCAGTTCCCTCCCAATTTCCAGATTGGGGAAGGATTTCTGAAAAATTTTATTAATTTTTTCGAATTTAGCGGGATAAGGGCTTCAAAATGAGTATGAACACGACTAGGCTCCGCCCCATTTGAATTTCGAAAACTTCCGAAAATTCAAAATTCTTGAAAGTAGGTCATGATTAGACTCATTTTGAAGCTCTTGACATGAGAAATTTGAAACTTTAAATTTTAATCCAAAACCTTAAAAACTAAAAAAGTTATAGATGAAAAAAGGTTGTTCTGAAATGCTTGTCTGTTAAATATGCTCATAACTTTCTTAGTTTTACAAATTTTCAATTATAATTCATATTTTTAATTTTTTCACGTTTAGACCTTTTAAATGAGTATAATCATGACCTACTTCCGAGTATTTTGAATTTCCGGCCCCCTCCCCCTATGCGCCTTTAAAGTCGAAATTTCAAATTTAAAGAAACATAGTCATGATTATACTCATTTTGAAGCTCTAAACGTGAGAAATTCAAATACCAAGATTTCATTCTGAAATTTCGAAAATTAAGAAAGTTATGGTCAATTTACCTTTGGCAATCAACGCCTCCAGCATCGCATCCGATTGCTCATCCTTAACCGGAGAGGACATTTTTCCAGAGAATTCTTTCCGGGAAAACTGAGCAATCTCTTTTACCCCTTTTGGCCCCTCTACCCTAGGCTCCGCCCCCTTGAGGATTACTGTGGCTCCTTAGGCTCCGCCCCATCCCTTCCCCCCCCCCCCCCCCCTTCTCTAATCCATAATGATGAATTGAGAGAGATGGAGAGAGTGGGGGAAAGTGAGAGACGCAGAGAAAGAAATGTTAAAACCCAAAAAAAGGAAACAAAGAAAAGAATCTTCTTGAGCCTTCTGAAGTGTCACGACGTCTTCTGAAAAATGAAAATTTTCTCGGAGGATTCTGAAGGATTAGTACTTCTTCTGTTTGGAAGAAAAAGAAGACGTCATTTTTAGGAAAGAAACAATAAAAACAAAAATATGAAATCATGGAGTGGTTGGGGTACTTGGGACCAAAAATTTTGAAAAAAAAAACAAAAAAAAATTTGGCCACAGGCCGGAGTCGAACCTGGGACCCCTCAGAATGGTAGCTATGAAGTTTAAAATAGTCAAAAAATGGTCAACACAAAAAGCAAAAACTATTGGCACCAAGGGGAATCGAACCCTGGTGTTCCGATTGGTAGTGGAAATGTTGGAAATCCCACTGAGTCATTCTTGCATTTTTTAGAAAAACGCTCAAAAATGCCGGAAATCGATTTTCAATGGGATTTTTGATTTTATTTGGTGTTTTTAAGTTACTTCCAAGCAATTTTCAACAACAAAAAAATTTCAGAAACATCTTTTTTAAGCCAGAAAAAAATTTGACCACAGGCCGGAGTCGAACCTGGGACCTTCAGATTGGTTTCTGAGAAGTGTAAAATGATCAAAAAGGGTCCACACGAAAAGCAAAAAAGTTTGCCACCAAGTGGAATCGAACCCGGGACGTCAGATTGCTATCGAAAATCCCACTGAGCCATTCTTGCATTTTTCAGAAAAACGCTCAAAAATGCCGGAAAATCGATTTTCGTTTTTAGTTTTTCTAGTTTTTGTAATTTCAAAAAAAAAAACTAAGAATTTCGGAATCTGAAATTCAGAAACTCAAAAAACTTTTGAATTCTAAAATTCCGAAAATTCAAGAAAAACAATTTTTTTGAAAAAATTTTAATTCTGAGAAAATTTGAATTTTTCCATTAGATCTGTTGTGGAAATTCCAGAATCTGAAAATCAAAAAAAATTCAGAAAAATTCAGAAAAATCGAATTTTCTGAAAATTGCAAAATTTTCGAAAAAAATCTGAAAAATCTAAAAAATTCTGAAACTTTTGGCATTTTGAAAGTTTTGAAAAATTCAATTTTCTATAAAAAATGTTTTATCAAAGTAAATTTTCAAATCTTCCAAATTTTTGCGAAAATCTGTCATTTCGAAATTCTGGAGATTCTGAAAACTTTGAAATCCTTCTTAAAATTCAGAGAAATTGAATTTTTTGAGAATTCTGAAATTACTAAAAATTCCAAAAAATTCAAAAGTTCCCAAAGTTTCTGAAAATGCTGAAAATCATAAAAAGCAGAAAATTCTAGAATTCTAGGAAATCCAAGAATTCAAAAAATTCGAAATTTTAGAAATTCAAAACTTCTCTGAAATCTGCTCTAAAGCTCTAAACTTCTGAAAATCTTAAAACACCAAAAAAAGCAATTCTTAAAATTCTGCAAACCTATTTTGTGGAAGATTCTGAAGATCCTGAAATTCTGGAAATTAACAAAAAAAACGTTTTCAATTCAATATTTATATTTGTGGCATCAAATGAAACAAAAGAGAAAAGAAAGAAGACAATAAATTACCGGCCATCAAAAAGCAAAAAAAAGAATAATCTAAAAAAATCCAATATGGTTTTTTTCCAAAAAAAATTGAATATTGTCTATTCAAAATAATCGCGCG